TCCTCTCCACCTATCTTCTCCTCTATCCATCTTCTATCCACCTCCCCCTCTCTCCCTATTTATTTCAGAACCCCCTTCCCCTCCCCCATTTCTGATGAAGGGTCTAGGCCCGAAACGTCAGCCTTCCTGCTCCTGTGATGCTGCTTGGCCTGCTGTGTTCATCCAGCTCTGCAACTTGAAATATTGTGTTCAGTTCTGGTCACCTCATTATAGGAAAGATGTGGAAGCTTTAGAGAGGATGCAGAGATTTACCAGGATGCTGCCTGGACTAGAGGGCAGATCTTACGAGGAAAGGCTGAGGGAGGTAGGGCCTTTCACATTGCAGCAAAAAAGGATGACAGGTGACTTGATAGAAGTGTACAAGATGATGAGAGGCATAGATAAAGTGGATAGCCAGAGACTTTTTCCCAGGGTGGAAATGAGTATTACGAGGGGGTATAATTTTAAGGTGATTGGAGGAAGGTATAGGGGAGATGTCAGAGGTAGGTTCTTTACACAGAGAGTGGTGGGCGTGTGGAATGCGCTGCCGGCAGTGGTCGTGGAGTCAGATACATTAGGGACACTTAAGCAACTCATGGGTAGGCACATGGATGATAGTATAATGTAGGGTATGCAGGGCAGATTGATCTTAGAGTAGGATGATAGGTCAGCTGAAGGTCCTGTACTGTTCTATGTTCTATGTTTTAAAGAATGAGTTAAATATAGTTCTTAGGGCTAATGGGATCAAAATGTATGGGGAGAAAGCAGGAGCGGGGGACTGAGTTGGATGATTAACCATGATCATATTGAAGGATATAGTAGGCTCGAAGAGTGGAATATTCCTATTTTCTATGTTTCTATGGAACTGAGCGTTAGAACGTGAATGACTGTGACTTGGATTTAGAAGGGCATAATTTCAGAGTTTGCAGATGGCATGAGACATGGAAAAGTGCTAAACAATGAAGAGGTGGCAGGCATTAGGAGGAGACAGGCAGGTTAGTGAAATGCGCAGACACATGGGAAATGGAACTTAGTGCATTAAAATGTGAATCAATATGTTTTGGTAGGAAGAACATGAATAGGCAACATAAACTGTATGGTGCCATTTGATAGGTTGTGCGTGGGCTGCGAGTCCTGGGAAATTGGGAAACGTGAGATAGCTGTGAAATATTTGGGATCCATGATTTTATTAAGAGAAACAGGGCGCAGAGGCCAGGAAGTTATGCTAATTTATGAACAGGAAACGCTAGAACCAGTCAGAGGGTCTATGCTGAGAGTTCAGGCAGCTCACCACCACCTTCTCAAGGGCAACTAAGGACAGGCAGTAAATGCTGACTCAGCCAGTGACACCCACATCCCCTGAGTGAACTTAATAAAAAAAAAAGTTTGAGGTCAGTGACATTTAATCAGAAACTATTCTCCTTAAAACTCAGACAGGTAAGAACAGTGGGTGAGTTTCCATTCATAAAGGACATTTAGGAACCAGATGGGTTTTAAAATATTCCAACAACTTCATAGTCACATTTACTGACACCTGATTTTTATTGCTTGGTCCTTCTTTAAGCTAAATTCAATATTCCAAACTGGTTAACCTGTACCAGGGAATTCATTGCGGTCTCCTTTTTTTCAGGTCTAAACTTTGCACAAACTGTTCATTTTTTGGAGAGTGGACTTCGCATGCCGCGCCCTGTGGCGTGCCCAGAGAAGTTGTATCATGTCATTTTGATGTGCTGGGAGGAGGATCCCTGCAGTCGGCCATCATTTCAACTACTGCGTGACCTGCTGCAAAACCTCTGACCCCTCCTTTGCTATGCTAACCTTTCCAGTCCTTGTTTTGTTATCCGGAGTGTGTTGTTGTTCACAGGACTGACTACATCTGATAAATTAAACCAGAATGAATTATCCAAAATGAATTGTGGCAGGAAGACAAAAATGTCAAAGCCAATGCCTTGATTAAAATCAGTTTGAAGTGTCCAGTGGGAAAGGTAACTGAGAATGTCTTCTGAGATAGTAGGAACCGCAGATGCTGGAGAATCTGAGATAACAAGGTGTACAGCTGGATGAACACAGCAGGCCAAGCAGCATCATAGGAGTAGGAAGGCTGACGATTCGGGCCTAGACCCTTCATCAGAAATGGGGGAGGGGAAGGGGATGGGGGTTCTGAAATAAATAGGGAGAGAGGGAGGCGGATAGAAGATGGATAGAGGAGAAAATAGGTGGAGAGGAAACAGACAGGTCAAAGAGGTGGGGATGGAGCCAGCAAAGGTGAGTGTAGGTGGGGAGTTAGGGAGGGAATAGGTCAGTCGAGGGAGGACGGACAGGTCAAGGGGGCGGGATGAGGTTAGTAGGTAGGAGATGGGGGTGTGGCTTGAGGTGGGAAGAGGGGATAGGTGGGAGGAAGAACAGGTTAGGGAGGCGGGGACGAGCTGGGCTGGTTTTGGGATGCGGTAGGGGGAGGGGAGAATGATGCTGCTTGGCCTGCTGTTTTCATCCAGCTCTACACCTTGTTATCTGAGAATGTCTTCTAGTTTTTAACAGAGAACTGAGGAATAAGTTTAATCTGAAGACACACACCTCTTCATTTTATTCACCCTTGCTTTCTTGAATGCGGCAGTTCTCTCCCTGCTGTAGTTTCATGTTGCAATGGCACACTGAACTGTACCAGCTCAGACACACAACAGTCTAGTTGCCCTTACCATTGTCTAGGTGTCATGGAAACACACCATACGGCATCACTGAAATGCTGCAATTACCCTCACCAACCTTCTGCATTGGACCAAAAAGGGGATATGTTCTTCGGGTAGGTCATGTTTGACTAATTTGGTGGAATTCTTTGAGGACATTACTTGCATGGTAGACAGTGGGGAGCCTGTGGATGTGATGTATCTGGATTTCCAAAAGGCATTTGACAAGGTGCCACACCAAAGGCTGCTACATAAGATAAAGTTGCACGGTATTACAGGTAATGTATTGGCATGGATAGAGGATTGGTTGACTAGTAGAAAGCAAAGAGTAAGGGTAAATGGGTGTTTTTCTGGTTGGCGGTCAGTGGCTAGTGGTGTGCCTCAGGGATTAGTGTTGGGACCGCAATTGTTTACAATTTACATAGATGATTTGGAGTTGGGGACTAAGTGTGGTGTGTCAAAATTTGCAGATGACACTAAGATGAGTGGTAGAAAAAAGTGTGCAGAAGACACTGAAAGTCTGCAGAGGGATATAGATAGTCTAAGTGAGTGGGCAAAGTTCTGGCAGATGGAGTACAATGTTGATAAGTGTGAGGTCATTCACTTTGGTAGGAATAACAGCAAAATGGACTATGTTTTAAATGGTAAAAAAATTGCAGCACGCTGCTGTGCAGAGGGACTTGGGTGTCCTTGTGCATGAATCGCTGAAAGTAGGATTGCAAGTGCAGCAGGTGATTAAAAAGGCAAATGGAATTTTGTCTGCCATTGCTAGAGGGATGGAGTTTAAAAACAGGGAGGCCCTGCTGCAGCTGTATAGGGTCCTGGTGAGGCCACACCTGGAGTACTGTGTGCAGTTTTGGTCTCCTTACTTGAGAAGGGATATACTAGCATTGGAGCGGGTGCAGAGGAGATTCACTTGGTTGATTCCAGAGTTGAGAGGGTTGGATTATGAGGAGAGACTGAGTAGGCTGGGATTATACTCATTGGAATTCAGAAGAATGAGGGGAGATCTTATAGAAACATATAAGATTATGAAGGGAATAGATAAGGTGGAGGCAGGGAGGTTGTTTCCACTAGCAGGTGAAACTAGGACTAGGGGGCATAGCCTCAAAATAAAGGGAAGCAGATGTAGGACTGAGGTCAGGAGGAACTTCTTCACCCAAAGGGTTGTGAATCTGTGGAATTCCCTGCCCAGTGAAACGGTTGAAGCTAGCTTGCTGAATGTTTTTAAGGCAAGGCTAGATAAATTTTTGAACAGTAAAGGAATTAAGGGTTATGGTGTGCGGGCGGGTAAGTGGAGCTGAGTCTCAAAAAGATCAGTCATGATCTTATTGAATGGCGGGGCAGGCTCAAGGGGCCAGATGGCCTGGTCCTAGTTCTTATGTTCTTCCTGTGTAAAACGGGCAGAGGGCATACCAATTTAACATTGCACCAATATGGGTGTAGGCACTGGCTTTGGGACTGATGTCCCATCTGTTCTCTCAGATGAATATAGAGGATTCTGTGGTAATGTCTGACAAGGGATTTCATCCTGGTATCCTGGTCAATATTAATCCCTCAAGGTGATATTTGTAACTGGTGATTTACCTCAGTGCTGTTACTAGGAGTTTGATGTGTTCATAATTACTGGTTGTATTTCCTACAGCACAACAGTGACTACACAAAGAGGTTTGAGGCTCAGTGGTCATGTCCCTGCCTCTGAGCCAGGTGGTCTGGTTTCAAGTCCCATTTGTATTGGAGGTGCACCGTAATATGTCTTAACAAGTTGATCTTTAAATAGATAGTGACTACACATTAAAAGTAAACATTGATTATAAAGCACACTGGAGTGTGTTGAGGTCAGGAAAAGTACTTACTGTAGGAACGTAAATCCCTTCTATGTACCCACATCCCCTGGTCTTCCTAGTCCTCTAATAAACATTTGGCTACTCTAGTTGAAATCTTGAGATGGTGCGGTTATTGAGTGAACTCTTGTCGGAGAATGATTCTAACCATTTGACTTTGCTGAGCAACGAGAAAACCAATAGTGTCAAAAATGTACAGCTTGAAAGAAGGTCTCGTGGAGAGGTTACCTTGCTGTGTGTGAAATGTTTATTGCCTAGACCTCCAGTTTATTGATATCTCATTAGTAAGACTGATTTGCAGAAGCTCTTTGCAACAGAAATGTAATCACAAAGCTCTCATCAGTGTATCCAATTATCTGATTCTTAAATGTATTAATTATTTAAAGCAGAGGTTTCACAGTTCAGTCCTTTGTTAGTGCTGAGTTATTTCATTTTAAATAAGGATGAAAATATTAACTAAGATTTACCATAATGTTTTCATATGTCTCACAGTCGGTACATCAGTGTAACTTTTATGAGTTAAGTTCATGGTATCATTATTATATCAGAGCATGTGACCGGAGGATATAAATATCTCATACTCTATTCTACCTTGGATGAATTGAAGCATGACATTTTACTAATGCATGCTCCTTAGTTATAGTCTAATAGATTGATTCTAGCCCAGTCTGTGAATGTAATATTTGGATATAATGTTATTTACTGAACAAGTCAGATCCCACTCTGAGATAAGAAGGTGTAGAGCTGGATGAACACAGCAGGCCAAGCAGCATCAGAGGAGCAGGAAAGCTGACATTTCAGGCCTAGACGCTTGGGTTTGATACATCATTTCTTTTATTTAATAAAGTGGTCTCTTACTGAAATACAAAACCAAAACATGCAGATCTGGTTTTAACAATGAAACAAAGACAAAAAGATAAAAATTTTAAAAAAAGCTATTTACAAATAATACAATTTGAAAGATTTCAAAGATTTACAGTAAAAATATAATATTCCATCTATTCTTAACAGCACCTCTTGACAGTACTTAAACACCAGAGGGAATTCCCTTCTCTATAACATCTACAGGTTTGACTTAACTGTTTTAAGTCCCAGAGATAGTAGGAACTGCAGATGCTGGAAAATCTGAGATAACAAGGTGTAAAGCTGGATGAACACAGCAGGCCAAGCAGCATCATAGGAGCAGGAAGTTTGACGTTTCGGGCCTAGACCCAGTCTTGAGAGTCTGACAGCTTCTTCCTTGACTATTCTCACAACTGAGCTTGGAATTTCTTAGCTTTGAATAATTTCTTCAGGGTTGTAACCAAACACTTCTAGTCTGGAACTTTCAAATAAAACCATTACATTTGGGAAATCTATTCCCTAACTTTTCTGAATTAATTCCTTTCTCTAGGAGAAACCATTGCTCATATCCAACCTCAACCAGAATTTCTTGAGAAGTGAAAATAAAAGCTTTCCAAGCCATTAGTGTTTTTTCCGGAGCAAAATAAAATCTTACCTTTATCATCTTAACTGAAACCAAACTAATAGCCATCAATATTTACTGTGTCCACTCATAAATCTTTCCCAATGCAATAAAATTCTCATTAGCACCTAAGGAACTATCTCTCTTATACTGGTATTAGTGAACAAAAACTGACAATGGTTTTTCATGGTTGCCATTCAGTTCAGTTTCTAATTCCAGAAAATTATTGAATTTAAAAGTCTTCACCTGATGTGGTAGGTCTCGAACCCATATCCTCAGATCGTTTGCCAGGAGTGGGGCTGCTGGTACGCCAAATGCCACCGTGACGTAATTATGCTTGACGTCACGCTGTTGACGACATCGCGGTTCCAGGGCCGCCATTAGTGGGCGGGTACAACATGTGTGACGTCAGACGCAGGTTGCGTTCGGAGCTGGGTGTATACCCAGCCCAAGGGGGGCGGTCCGTTCTCGCGACGTCAGACGCAGACCATGGGGGCGGGGCCAGCTCCTCGCCGCCATGTTGTTGAGGTTGAGTGAGGAAACGAGCGGGAGCGGGAGAGCAGCCGGGCGTCCGCTCGCTTAAACCCTCAGGCCCACCCCTAGTTAATCCTTTAGCTCCCGTGTCACCGGTAAGGGCATCGCTCACTCGGCTTTCTGCGGCCGTGCAGGGCCGGGAATGGGTTGTGTTGTCTGTCAGTAAATGCAACTGTTTTTCTTCTCCACCCCCGCTGACTCCGCGCTCGGGCCTTTCGGCGGACCGAGCAACTAGGCCTCCCGCGGTGGGGGGGGGGAAGGGAATGGGGAATGTGTGTGCCCGGGTAGGCCTCTCGCTAGCATTCCCCCACCCCGCCACCTCCCCCTTTGGTCTCCCTGCTCACTGGCGGTTTGGATTGTACAGTGAATGGATTTTAGTTGAATTGAGTCTGAGTTGGCGGCGGCCTGTGTGAGGGGCGATTACGGCGCTTTGTGCGCGCACTAGGAGCGGACAAAGAGTGTGCATGCGCAGCAAGAGGGACCGTGGAAGGAATCAGGAGTTGGGGAGTCGGGAGGGGGGAACGGGGACAAGTCCTCCCACAGCCTGGGACGGAGTGAAGAGGAGGGGAGGGAGAGAGCTGGGGGTCGAATCTTTCCAGACTCCGGGTGGGAATGGGAAGGATTCCTCCCGGAGCTCGGGCACTCCGCTAAATCACTCAGTGCATACCTCTTGGGCTTAATTGTAATACTTAAAAATAAGTGGTATCTCTGTCCTAAAGCGAAAGGAGGATTTCAGCACCAATCACATACTGTTTAATCCTGAAGGCAAATTAAAACATTGGCCTTGTTTTTTTAACTGTTCAAGATCCAGATTTTGTGTCTCAAATAATCTGCAGGTATTTACTGGTTTCATTTTGTGGATACTGCACGCTTTTAAAAGTTGTAAAGGATATTTGCTCTCAATGCAATCTCATGTAATGCATCCCTTTTTAACGATCTGCATGTGTTGGTCCATGGCTTTCTGATCGGACACTTTTTTGCTAAATGGTTCTGAATGTAGGACAAGTCAGATTGCTTTTTAGAATCGTAAAGTATAAAGAATGAAGTTTGAGCCAAAGGAAAATATTCTTGAAATGGTAGAGAGTTTATGTGCATCAACCTTGTTTTTATCAGGCTGGTTGGATTTGTGATTGTTTTTGAAATTTTTGAATATTGATTTGTATACTACTTGCATTTTTAACATTTTATTTTCTTTATTTAGGGCCTTGCTGTAAAATGGATATCAGCCAGATCTGGTTTGTTTGCGTTGCTTGTTGTAAAGCCATGTTAGATTGTGTAACTTGTTACATCTGCTTGTCCCTGGAGCAGTTTTGACCAAGTGCAATTTAGTTGTGTCCAGTCTCTCTCCTGATAGTGTTATTCAGTACATATTATACTAAATGCAAATTAAAGTTCTTTATGAGCACGTTTGTAACCCTGTTTACATGCATTTTACAAGATATAATTGAGGCATTAGATTCTGGTATTTATTATTTTCCTAATATGCCCTGGCGTTTTTGTTAACTAAATGTTAATGAATAAAGGAAGCTGTGATGGTTTGGCTTTTAGTTGGTGATATGAACCTTAATTCTGAATGCATCATGTATGCTAAAGTATGGCAGTGACTGTCTTTGTGTTTACATCAACTGAAACCCTTCCAGTTCAAGTACATCAGTCCTGAAAATGAGAACAAAGCTGACAGCATTTGCACGACAGACGTTTTGTTTATTTTGAACTTTGTGTGATGTGGAAATATTTTGTGAAGATCATCCACTGTTGTTGGCACAATTGTTTGTGATGTTCACCAAACAGGTGCATCCCAGCTTTAGAGACTGCGACTAGAGAATGAGCCTTGGTAACAATTTAGCCTTATTTTATGGACTTGGTACTCTAGTGTTCATTTGGGACATTAATTTTGAATCAACTTTGCCATTTTTTGTTTGGTGTTGAGTTTTAATTAGGTCTGGGAAAGTAAGATACCTTCTTCTTAATCCTGAACACTTGAGTATTCTGCCCCCCAACCAAAATGTGTTTTGGAGAAAAAAAACAATAGATAACTTACAGTGCTTTTAAATAATAATTTGATTAGCATCTGGCAAATTCTGGCTTGTGCAAATCAGCAGCATATTTGGATAGTTTAATCAGCTCGTTTTTGCTATTTATTTGTTAACTACCCAAGATCCTAAACTATGTATTGCTTGAAATTTCAAACTGGAGTAACAAAATTTTAAACATTTCATAGGTTTAAAACCAAGTGAGATGAGATGCCACAACTGAAAATATAGAGTAAACTTTAGCAATTAAGAGTTTTAGAAATATTTTAAACTGAATGTTAAAATTCCCTGATCTTAATTGTAGGAACGATAATTTTTAGACTGTTGCACAAGCTCTTTTTAGGTATCCCAGTATAGAAGTTTATTTACTGTACCAAGTTTCTTCTTGTATCTACTGACTAACTCAGCCATGATCCTACTGAATGGTGGAGAAGGCTTGAGGAGCAAAAAAATTGCTGTTCCTCTTTCTTATGAACCTTTTTGGCTACAGTTCCATGGCGTAAATTGAGCTCTGTTGCCTTGGATGGAGAACCATCGATTTGACAAGTCTCATGTCGAGATCAGCAGAGCAGTTTGACTAAGTCCTTTGAGTCTTGATCTGCATTCAGCAACCACAGTCCCAACTACCCACTAAGATTTTGCCACTTGCTGACCTACATGTTAGAGTAGTTACTTGATAAGTTGGAATGAACTGTCAGTTTAAAATCCTCATCACATTTTGATCTTGTTTTTTTTCTCACCTTGGTTTACCCTGCAACTACAGTATACACTATTGTGGGATATTCTTACCTAGGTTTTGTCCAGGACTGTGGCATATGGAGCAGTGAACAGGTAGAAGAAGACCTTCAGATTTTTACAAATTTCATTACAAAGGAAATATTCAAATCTGTGTAATTTTATTCCCTCCCCCTTCACTTCGCTTTCGCTCTCCTTGTCTGTTTCTTACATGCACACATGAGTGAATTTGGAAAGTTTATACTTGCAGAGATCTACTGAAGTACAATTGATTGCAATCTCTGAAAATAGGATTAGATAAACACCTGAAGAAAAGCAAAGGGTAGAGAGAGCAAAGCCATTGATAGCTAGCTCCAAAGTGGAACTGACGCAGGTATGATGGGCTGTATGATGCCTTGTGTTGGAATTCCTACGATGTTAAGCATCTGGAATTTCAAGACTTTAATCTTGCATTGTGTGCTGATCTTTGAGGGCCATAATGAAGTATGATATGGAGTCAGGTTCTGTTCTCATTTGCAGCTTTAGAAACTATTTTAAATTATAAATTTAAAGTTAGTAACAGCCTAAAGCACAATTTTGTCTTAAGCATATTAATAGGATTGTGTCATCTCTTTCCACTAATGCACAAGGTGCTGAGCAAACCAATCTCAATCAAATTATTGGTGGTTATGAATCCAGAAGTAACTGTTCAATTGAATTCATTGAAACTTTAAGATGAGTAGTGTGCCTAACAAGAAATTTGTTGAATGATATTTCTGCATTTTGGAATTCCAGTGTGTCAGTTTTAAAATGTAGCAAAATCAGCCAAAATATTGTGCTTTAGAACCAATTATTAATTTGTGGAGCAAACAAGTTAGGTACAGTGAGGATGCTGACATCATAGGAGACCTGAAAAAAACACTATTGGTGTAACCCTTTTGTTTATATTACAACTGTAAGAACTGTTTTAATTGTTTATTATGGACCACCTATTCCCTTGGTGACAATGTTGTTACTGACGAAACTTTTTTGACACAGGACTTTTCTGTGTAATGGTTAAATTTAAATCGACCATTAGAATAAGCTGAATCAAAACAATCTTATCCTTTCTGATTTTGACTCAGATCTCCAGCATTCAAAGTTCTTAGCTTAAACATTCATTTTATTTTAAGAAATGGTGTGATAATTTAATATTAAAATCTGGTTAAGAAAAGTTTTAGGCTATCTTGTGGTTTGAAAGTGAATTTAGTTACCAGGAGAAATGTCCGTTGTCTCGTGAGACAATTGCAGCACTCCACTCACTCCATTTGTATGAACTTTTGATCTCTCTGCCTACAAATTCTGTACCTGTGCTTCTGTTCACTTCACCTGATGAAGGAGAAGCGCTCCACAGGCTTGTGATTTCAAATAAACCTGTTGGATTATAACCTGGTGTCATGTGACTTCTGACTTTGCCCATCCCATCCAACACCGGCACCTCCACATGATTGCAGCAGTGTGGAGGAAGTGCGACCCTCTGTTCCCTTTCCAGTTTTGTTTCTCCTTTGCTTCTTGAATGCATCTGATTGACATTCATCTCCATGGCTTTTATAGCCATGTTTCAGTGGCTACTGTTTGTATAAAGTCTGTAGGCTGGTCAGCTGTGCCATCTGCAGTACTTGTAGTAATGTTAATTAAGGACAATTGCATGATGTTGCTCCCAGGCAATTGGTGAATATATTGGGAAATCCGACTGTGATAAATCTCTTCACTAAAAGTAATGTCACAATTTTCTTTAGTCTACACCCACCAAACTATAATTTCTGCTTTGCTGAGCCAATCCGTACAACAAGGTTCCCGTTAAGATTTGAAAGCAGATGAATGTAGTTCTATTTGGGCGAAAAATAATTGATGAGTTACTTTTACTTGATAAGTTCTCAAATTTTACACCAGGAGAAATTACAGTTGAGCATGTTTACACTTTAAACTTGTGCACCATACTTGTTTGTTTTAATGGTCTAAATGATAAATTGGACAGAATGATTTGTGTGAGATTTGACTGGAATTCTGATGTCAACCTTATTGTTAAACTTTGCCTGTTCAGCCTTTCTTTTAGGCAATTAA